TTGAACATATTTTGTTTTTAAGTATATTAACTTAATTATTCAATGTTTTGATTAAATTTCTCGGAGAAATTTGTTCACGAGAAATTTCTAGAAATTTCTACCGAGAAATTTCTAAGAAATTTCTTTTTGGCCAACACTACAAATCACACAATGGCTACCAATGAATAGCATTTCACATAACTATCGCAAACAGCAATATTTAATATATTATAATAAATTAAGCAATAAATTATGATTACAGTAAAATTCAAGTGTAGCACTCAAAGTATATAACAACGATTATGATAGATTTATAACCATTCTTTCAGCTTAACCAAATAAAATCCAGCATAATTACTGACATCTAATTGCACAGTGTAGAGTGTAATAATCTTACTACAATATAATATGCTTATCCATATATCCAAGTTGGTTATTTGAATATAAGTTGTTCAAAGAATTCAATGGTATTTATGATATTATACAGGATTCACAAGAATTAATGCCATAAAATATACAAGAATTAGCTTTATTTATAAACACTGTGTTTTATGATTCTGTGCACTAAATTAACTAAATAATTGGTATACATGTATCATTGATTTATTTTACAAAGTCCCTGTTTTTATTTCAAATAAGGTCCGTACAGAGCCGGTGGCAGCGATAGATGCTTATAATTTATTGAATTAAATTAAATTTAGTGACTACTTACTTGTTAAGATAAATAATACTATTTATTTTATTACATAATTACGGATTGTAATTTAGTAAAAAATTGATATTTTGGTCAAACTGTATCGTAGACTGATCTATGTATATTTTCTAACATTACCATGATTATAAGTAAATTTTACAAACAAACAAACACTTGCTAAATAACAATTCCTTTAGTTTGTCTGAAAATCACTGCGATTTGAATGAATTTTTAAATACAATTTATAATTAAATTAAAGAAAATTTAGTTTGTAGAAATATTAATAGTATTGTACTAATTTAGTGCACTTATTTCATTTTCAATATTAGATGATTGATTAAAAACCATGATCACTGACACAATAGTAAATAAGAATTAAAGTTAAATATTTTTCCATTATTACAATATTTACAATATCATTGAGAAATAATTAATACATACCGTATAAACTTTATAACTTTATAATGAACTATTTGTGCCAGTTTATTGAATACCATGCCATACAATGTACTAATTGTTTATTAATGTACCGGTTGTAGGATTTAATCAGTGTGTAAATATTGATATTAATATGGTAGAATTTAATAATTAATCTACGATATTATATCATAAAGACTACTGTGAAATTAGGTATGTCACAATGTTTCATAAAAGTTCACTATAAGTGCACTGCTTTATTCTGTCTAATTAATTATATCTCACAGACAAACAACCAGGTGTTTACTTATAAACATGTATCCAGATAAGTTTAGATTTGTTCCGACAATGTTTAGACAATTTTGGACTATTTAACTTTAGTGCACAAATGTTTTTATCATTTTTTAATCCGGACCTTTTATTTTGTAATAATTAAACCAAATATGGATCTGATATTGACAATGTTTATGTCATCTAGTTAATAATTTAAAAATAATATTTATATTACAGAACTAATAAATAAGTAATTAAAATCAATTATCTAGTTATAGATAATTAATTGTTTGTTATAAAATGTCTTTAGTAACGTTAAAATACTAGTTTTGTAAATTAAAAATCAGTGCATATTTAAACCCCCAATATAATTAAATCCTTGGTGATACAATTTATTTGTACTAATTAATCAATATTACAACTGATAACAATACATTTACCTGGTCTCTCTCTCTCTCTCTCTCTCTCTCTCTCTCTCTCTCGTATTAATTACAATAAAAGTTTCAATTAGTTGTCATTTAATGGATATTAGTGTTAGGCGTCAACAGTGTTTGAACAAACATAATATTCAATTATTACAAAACAATAGAAATATTGTATTAAATAACTAGTTTGCAAACAACACAATTAATTGACCATGCTACAAAATATACTAAAGAATCGAGTAATTCTAGTGGACGTGTTATCGGTGTTGTTTGGGATCAGCTCTTGGATAGCCGTCAACGGTGTGTGGACTCAGACACCACTACTAGTGCAGAGACTGCCCGAGCAGTGGAACCTAACCTCCTATGTGGTAATGATTGTTCAGTTGGCAAACATTGGGCCCATTGTTTACTCTATACTCAAATTTAAATACTCACTCAAAGTAAGTAAAACATAGTTTCTTAAAATCCATTATTTCCTGAATTTATAATGAACTTTGCGCAAGTTAAATCTTGGCTACCTAGGCAATTAATTGGTTGTACGCACTATTTTGTATTACGTATCGATAATAAACTAGGTTTATTATTACGTACATTGCAAAATAGAAATTCCAATATAAGCAATTTAAATGTCAAACATTGCCAATTAGTTTACAATAAGGATTGATTTACATTAATTAATTAGATTATAAAAATTCATGGAATTGATGTATTGAGTTGATATTGGATTAACTATATGTCTACAACTATATTATGTCTTATAGATAGGGTTACTATCACTAGACAATTATTTAACAATTTAATTAAAATTAAAACAAAATATAATCACATATCAATTACTTAATATACCACAAATCACCGCATATAAGTCATGTCATAATAATAACACTTTTAAATACAATACAAATGACAGGCCGTAGAGAAGCCATGCATTCACGCGACTCTATTGATCGGTTCGGTCGCGTGTCTCCTATTAGCGCTGTTTTGGGACAAAATCACTGTTATTAATGGCAGCAAACATTCGGTCGCTTTTCTCACACTAACGGCACTGTTAGCTGTGGTCGACTGCACCACATCTGTACTCTATCTGCCATTTATGGCACACTTTAAGTCTAAATATCTGGCCTCGTATCTGACGGGTCAGGCGCTCAGCGGACTCATACCTAGCCTATTGGCGTTTGCGCAAGGTAATCATCATGCACAAAACATACGACTTTATCATCTAAACTTTTAAATAAATTATGTTATTATTTTACCCGCAGGCGCCAGCGATAACCCGGAGTGTATTACTTCTACCGACACACACGAGGTATACCCAAAATACCCGGAGCCCCGTTTCTCTGTAGGGGTGTTCTACGGGTGTCTATTATGTCTGGTTGTGCTAAGTTGGCTGTCGTTTGTATTGCTCAACCGTATGAGTCGGTGTCGTAAAGAGTGGGTCTTATACTCAAAAAAGAGCGCCGACTTCAAGGGCCGGGCGTCGGACCGTACGGTCAGCACCGGTAGCGATGTCTCGTCGTCTGACGCCAGCGTTGACTCCAGTCCCGAGTCTTGTGGCCATAAAAGTGACCAAAAACTGAATACAGAGCCCTACGAACAAACCATATCCCGGCGCACATTCATCGCCCTATTGTTAACTCAGGCCTACATATGCTCTCTAACCAACGGACTATTGCCCAGTAAGTGATCATATATTTTATTATTTAATTTACAGTATAATAATTGATTTTTATTAGCATAATCATTTTACATTTATAAATCAATTTTATTATAATTTAAGCATTAATTAATACTTTAGCAAGTTGCATAAGCCATTAGTAATGGCCCATTACCACTAACAATTAAATTTCTGCCACAAACTACTCCAGGTATTCAAAGTTACAGTTGTATGCCATACGGAAACACCGCCTACTTCTTGGCGGTGAACATATCGTCAATAGTGAATCCCATATCATGTCTGATAGCGTTTTACGTGAAGCCCAAATGGATTATCGCAACACTTCCCGGTGCTATCGGGTTGGGAACGGTTTGTGCAATCTATGCCATGGTTACGGCCGTACTGTCGCCCACACCACCCCTCCAACACACGGGCACCGGTAGGGCGTTGATTGTGCTGACATGGGTGGGCATTGCCGGCCTGTTTGCCTACTCCCGGGCCTGTATAGCAACCGTACTCCGTAATAATACCGCCGGTGCCGGACATAAGTCGCTATTCTTTTGCGGTGTATTCACACAAATAGGTTCAACAGTGGGCGCAGTCATCATGTTTTGTATTATTAATTATACAAATAGTTTTATATCCACCTCTCCTTGTAGTTAACATTTTGTATATTAAAATTATATTATTTTTTAAATTTTAGTAAAATATATTTTGAGAGAGAGAGAGAGAGAGAGATGTTGTTGTTTCCCATTTGACTCCTACCTCTGAACCCATTGTTTGTATGTATTATTGGTTTGTTTGAACTGAAGGTTAAGTCAGGCCTCAGGTGTTCACCAAAACTACTGATTTTTCCTAAACTAAAAACAAAGAAATTGTTATTATTGTTACACTAAAGAAATTTCTTTGCAATCATTTGTATTTGTATTAAATGTATTATAAGTGATATATTTTTATTTAAAGTAATTTATTCGGAAAATGTGTTCAAAATTAATGAGTGTTTCGTTGATTGAAATG